ACTGGCCAGTAATTTTTTTTTTATTTAAGTGACATTTAAATAAATTCAAATTTTATTAAAATAAAACACCCTCACATTTTAATTTATCTGCTTAAAAGTTTGTTGTTGATGTTAATTTATGTTGAAGTTTATGTTGGAGTTTGCTTGGAGTTTAAACAATTTGCGAAGCGAGAAATGCGACAATACGCTTTCAAACTCGATGAAAACATCTCAAGTGACGGGGAAATTAAATTTGCTTATTAGTATTATATCTGAATTTATTTTGTCTCTAGTAGCATTTTCCTTAAACAAATAAAAAGGATACTTCGATTTATTTTGCAAAGAGTATCATTTTGGCGGCGAACTTCCAGTGACCAGAATAAGTTGACCTGTCAGACATTGCTCTTCTTTGGAAAGAACTTCCGCGATTTTATGCATGTTTTTGTGCACGAAAACATTATTTGTGATGTTTACTTACGTAAGTAAGTGTATTGTTTTGTGAGTACAAGATGTGGGCATTATTTTACGATTCAACCATAATTACAATGCAATAAACATGATTATAATTAATGAAATATAATTAATTTGTTTGATGTAATTAATTTAATTAATTCAATTCAATCAAATAACTAATTTGATTATTAATTAATTGAATTAAATATTTGATTGAATTAATTTAATTAATGTAATTAACATATCATCATCAGCTCTATACGTCCCCACCGAGGGGTTCGGAGCCTACCCTAAGTTAACGCCATAATCAACTATTTTTCGAATTTATGCCCTGACGAGCTGCTTTTTATTTAACTTACTAATATTATAAATGCGAATATTTAGATGGATGTGATGTGGATGGATGGATGGGTGGGCTACACTAATTAAGTTCTTTTATATACACGCGGACGGAGTCGCGGGCGTCAGCTAGTTATATATATTTAAGGAGAATTACATGTTTTTGTGCTGGAGATTAGGCAGTGAAAATCCACACTAATTTTTATTTATTCAATTAGTTATAATTTCGACCTTTATTTCGAACTATTTCTTTTGTTTATATAATATCTGTTATAATTTCAGGATTATAAATATAATTTCTGTATACATTTCTATTCAGCTAAAGAATTTCGTCTTACATTTGTGTTTATTTTAAAAATCTTATGATTTGAACATCTCAAGCGAGTCTTATATAAAATTTTAATGTTGAGAACCTGCCTCGCAAACAATACGAAATCCGGCCGATTGTGGATTAAATCTTTTATTTTTCTTTTACCGCTAAAGTATACATATTTCATACTAACCTTCACAACTGTATTTTCTTAGATTTTAGTAGACTTATATATCTTTTACATTAAAGTGATTAGACAAATAGTACAATAATTAAAATAATTAATGATATTTCAAATATTGAATTAATTAGGATTAATTAATGATATGTATCGTAATGTAAGGAGCGTCGGTGGCTCAGTGGTCAAGCAGTTGACTTGCAATCTGCAGGTCCTGGGTTCGAATCCCGCCATGTACCAATGTGTTTTTCGATTTCCGATTTACATATGTACATTTATCCGACATTACGGTGAAGGAAAACATCGTGATGCAACCTGCACATATCTGAGAAGAAATGCAAAGATATGTGTGAATTCAACCAACCCGCACTTGGCCAGCGTGGTTGACTATGGCCTAATCACCCGTAACTTAGGGTAGGCTCCGAGCCCCTCGGTGGGGACGTTTAGTGAGCTGATATATATATATCAGCTCACTAAACGTGTTGTGTAATGTAACCTTACTAATAATATAAGTGCGAATGTTTAGATGGATTAATATTTCTTTGAAGTTATCTTCGGAACAGGTCAATGGATCTTAATTACATTTGACATAGATGTAGAACATAGTCTGGAAGATCACATAGACTAACGAGATGGGAACGAAAGCTAGTTAACAAATAATGTCATGCACATGTCGTAATATAGCCCTTTCCCATTCGTCCGCTTTCTTACGTGCCATCTTCTTACTTATAAATGCAAGTTTGGATGCATGGATATAAAGTTTGGAGATACTTTCTAACAAACATCCACCCATACAAACGTTCGAAAAAAATCTGCTATTTTTATAAAAAAAAAAGATTTTCGTTAATTTTAAAATGTATCCTGCAACATTCTTTCTAGTTTAAAACTATACTAGCTGTCGCCAGCGACTCCGTCATTAGATAAACTTAATTAGAAGACTATGTGTTCTTCCAGACTATGTTTATACATGTATGACGAGAGCGAGATCCATGCAGCTGTTCTGGAGATACCTTCTAACAAACGTCCACCCATCCAAATGTTCTGTTATATATACTCCTTCTACTAACCTTTATGCTACCTATACACAAAATCTTGATGAGTAGACATTAGATTAAGCTCATCATAATTATAATTAATACTGGCAGTTAGTCTCACTCCAGCCTTCGGAAGGGAAGGTTGCTTTTCCTTTACTAAATCATTACTGTGTTCTTACTAAATCAATATTATCATTTGTGAAACAAAACCTTGCTAAATCTCTATAATTAAATGTTAACTTAAAGGGTTTCTTTTTTTTAAAAACCCAAATTCACTACTCCGTATAACAGTTCGCATTTTATAATATTAGTTACATTATTATTATACGAGTTAAAGTAATTAATAAATGAATAATTAAATAATATTTATTGTTATCGAAAGTTATTAAAGTTAGCGCAACTTAGCGTCAAGTTATCTACTTGTGAAATGCAACGTAAGCCGCGTTAAATCCGGTTTAATTATGACGAGTTTCCTGCATAGCTTTAAGCTCTGAAGCTGCAAGAATAGATATTTCTAAAGCTTATAGATTGAAAGTTTCCTATATCTTAAAAAAACCATATAAGTTCTTATATTACATTTCTTTTGACGTCTAAAACATGTAAGCAGAATAAGGTAATGATTTACCGTGGGTTTCTGAGTACAAATTCCTCGTTTAAAGCATCTCTGTTTTGTCAAAGATATGTTTTACACGGAGATTTTGGATTCAGAAACCCAAGGTTAGTCATTTTGTTTTTTATCAACTGATTATTAAAGTCAATTAATAATTATAAATGCGAATGTTTAGATGGATGGATGTTTGCTAGAAGGTATCTCCAGAACAGCTGCATGGATCTCGCTCTCGTCATCGATGTAAAAACATAGTCTGGAAGAACACATAGGCTTCTAATTACTAATGTCGCGCGGACGGAGTCGCTGGCGACAACTAGTATAGTTTTAAACTGGAAAGAATATTGCAGGATATTTTTCAAAACGAACGAAAACTTTTTTTTATATAAAAATATTAGCAGATTTTGATTTTGGAAATTTTCTAATATTCTAACTAATCGATCTATAATAAGTCGAATGGCGGTATTCGAATCCCCGACCTCGTGATCGGAAATCCCTTACCCTTAACCATTAGGCTATTGACGCTTAAAACTGTACAAAATGTTTGTGTTTCGGCAGTGTAAACCCACTGTAGTGTATATACATTTCTAGTATACTAAAATAAACAGCAACAAACGTTATCATATGACCCTGTTTTATAATTTAATACTGTCTACAATGTTAGTACGTTACGAGAAAAATTTAAATTACATTCTTCCGAGGCGAGGCAAAAGAAAAGAATTTAATATCATTTAAAAATGCGACTACGTGTTTACATTGTCAGTGTTCACGTGATTATATTAATATGGTTCCAAATTTAGCTATACATATAAATAAAAGGCACGCGACTCCTCTGCGTAGGATTAAAAAAAAACTCAAATGTAGTCCGTGTTCTTCCAGACTATGTTCTACATGTGTGCCAAAATTCATCAAAGATTGATCCAGAGATCTATCCTATTCTAAACATTCGCATTTATAATATTAGTAATATAGAAAAGAAAACTCACATTTCGTATACATGATATTTGCCAAACGAAAAACCAAGTTTTGTCTGCCTGTCTGTATGTCCAAAAGGTCCGTTTCGGGTAATCCCTGAAAAGGCTTATTAATAATTTCCTTTTTTATATTATAAGGTGGCAAACGAACAAGCGGCTACCTGTATTCGCCGAATTAGAGAAGCGATTGCTGCCCCCAGACATCTACAATTGCAGATGCATTACCTACCTTCAATCGACGGAGGAATTGACGCACCGACAGGGAATATTTCCCCTTCCTAAGCGTACATCTTAGTGATCAAGGGACTTTAGAGTCCTTCAAGAAGCGCGCGTATCACCAAAAAACACTCCTCCATCAAATCCACTTCCCCTTCTCATCTTTTTCTTATAATAACAGGGTAGGAAGGGAAATGGGAGAAATTAGGCCTCCGTACGCAATTTAATCTCTCACTTATTTTATTCAAATGCAATGCGTTTTACAGATCTATACAAATATCAGAAAGCGGAAGAGTTTGTTTGTTTGAACGCGCTAATCTCAGGAACTACTGGTCCAATTTGGAAAATTCTTTTTTTCTTGGATAGTCTATTTATAAAGGAAGGCTTCAGGCTATATAACATTACTCTGCAACCAATGTTTTTATTCTAATTCCGCGCCGACGAAGTCGCGGGCGACAGCTAGTCTTTCATACTTATAAAGTACTAGAGTCTACCGAAATTTAAATATTTAAGTATTTTAAAAATTAAAAAAGTTAAATAAATATCAGCATCGTCAGAGCTCTGAAACTGAAGCACTAAGTAAACTGCTAGAGCTACTTCAGATGCGAAAACGAATTCATTTGCAAGAAAAAAATAAAAAAAATCATTAATACGAACAGAAATATATTAAAAAGAGTATATTAGTAAAGGAAATTATATAAATTACCGTAAAACAACAGGGTAAATATTAGTCTTTTCCCTGTCCTTATCCAACTTACGTATGGTAGGGTATCTGCAACATTTGTCGACCTCCATATTGATCTCTCTTTTTAAAAACAAAAAAAATCAATAAAAAAATAAATCCGATTGACTGAAACCCTAAGATACTCTTTATCTATCTCTTATTATCTTTAATTCTTCTCATTTCAGACCATAAATACATTTAGACTTTGACATATGACATTTGTCACTATGAACGAAATTTACAATTACTAATTAATAATTTTATTTCCTTTACTATGTTAAATCAACAGTAAGTATATATCATATTATTTAAATAAAATTTACTAACATAAATGCATAAGTTTGCACGTAACTCCAAAACTGCAGCAAGAATCATTTCCCCCGACAAAACCACATACTTCCTTTTACCTTCCTTCTTTCATTTAGAGCGTCGGTAGCTCAAGAGGTTAGCACTTGACATGTAATCTGCAGGTCCCATGTTCAAATCCCGCTATATACCAATATGTGTTTCCATTTACATTATACACATTTATCCGTTATGCTACCTGCACATATTTGGGAAGAAATTCAAAGATATGTGAATCAACCTGCACTCACCCACGGTCTCCGATCCCCTCAATGGGGATGTATGGTGAGCTGATATAACCATTCTTCTCTTATTAGAGAAGGGTAAGCAGACTAGAATTGGCATACATACTAACAAACGAGACGCTACTATACTTCGCATTTTAGCGCGTCTTCTGCGTGGTGCAGGCGAGCGGACGAACCTTGCGACTAATCCTACTGCTATCTCCAGAACTGCTGGAAGTTTAATTGTCTTTTTATCTTCCAGATGTAGATATGATCTAGTATCATATGTGTTTTTGCATCTGTGTACCTCAGTTGTGCTGCTATCCTTCTCTCTTCAGTCCTTGTCTTGCTTGTCTGCCTTTCTGCATTAAAGGTAACCAGGAGATCAATTTTTAATTTAACCATATTCGCAATTTACCTTATTCTATAAGAAAAGGGAGCAAACGAGTCGTGAGAACACCGAGGTGATCAACGACGCCCATGGACATCAACACCAGAGGAACTGATGATATGGCAGGCTTTTGAGAAAAAGATATGTACGCTTGTTCAAAAGAACCTTAGTCGCTCTGGTTTGGAAATGCAACAGAAGACAGACTGTTCCACAACGCTGCCGTGCCCTATAAGGAACAAACTTGAATTCGTCTTTATAGAGGTCGTCTACGAAATTACCAAAAATTATTATTTCGGTCCCTTGAATTTAAATACTTAAAATATAAAATACACCTATGAACAGAATGCTTCAAATTGCTTAATGGAAGTAAAGAAATATTTAAAAACAATCGAACTTTATCAACGAGGTATTGACAAAAATTGGTAAAACATGTCAGACTGTTTGCTAACTAAAGAAAATCTTGACATTGTTCAACAATTTCATTCTACACAAGTGCTTTGACTACTAGAAAATTGAACATATTTTAAAAGCAAACAAAAGTATTTGCTAACAATGAATTTGAAACAGAATGTAAAAGAAACGCAGGTGTACAGCGAAATTGAACTCTCCTATCAGCTTGTCAACCATTAATATACCTTTAGATTTGTCCTTATTAAACTTCCAAAGCATTTTAAACCCTATTTCCTTCTATTTAAGGTATTAAATGGTGCCAATGCTTTATCGTTAACTACGACAGCGAGGAAAACTTGCACCCGTCTGCACAACAGATCAACAAAAATCGAGAATCTTACTAATTGACAATTAGTTATACGATATGCATAATAAAATTCTTTACATTTGTGTCAGTATTTTTATTATAAATCAATGGATTAACAAAGAAAATGGATTGTTTAAAAATACGATTCTACATTCTGGTACTAACAAAGCGAAGGAAGAGAGCTCTCTACGTTCCGACAAAATTACCAGTTTTGTGACACACTTTACTAAGAAAGTATTATAGTAACTTCAATTTATTTTGTGGTTATGTTAACTAGTAATTCGTCGTAATAGCGGAGCGACCGCTTCTACGCACAGAAAGAACAAGTTCCACCTTCTTTTGCGTCTACTTTTCCGTTAAATACACTCCCTTTCCTTCCCTTAATTTTTTATCCCGTACGCACCCTACGACCATACAGAAGACCAACAAATGTTGTTGCTGAGTCTACTGTAAAAAGTGTACAATCCCTAAGAATGATATAAAAACGTCTAAACACTCACGTATATTCGTCCGGTGGCGGCACCGACTAGTTTTGTGCCCATCGGGGGCCTTTTTTCAGGATGGGTGGTACTGGTATTATTTCGCGGACGCGGCCCGTCGCTCACGACGACGAATATACGTGAGTGTTATGCCGTTTTTATATCAGTTTAATTTAAATTATTCAAAATTTCGTGAGACATTATAATAAACTTATTATATATAAAAACGGGTAAACACTCACATATATTCGTTCGGTGGCGGCACCGACTAGTTACCGACTAGTTGAAGGGCCCCCGATGGGCTCGAAACTAGCCGGTGCCGTCACCGGATGAATATACGTGAGTGTTTAGCCATTTTATATAAGTTTAATGTAAACTTTTTAGAAATAATTCATCTATGCTTTATAGACTATGATTCATAAATAACGCAAGATTTTTAAGTCATTTTTAATCATGACAATTTGTCAATTTTAATATATTTTGTCATGTATTAAGTTTTAAATAATCTGTATTATTCAATCTAAATCAATGTGTGTCTTTCTTACAAGTGGATTTTTCTCTTGGTGTCCGTTATTATTTATATGTCCTTGGATATTCTGCGTACCCTTACCTATACCTTGTTTACTTCTATTCTCTTCTTATAATCCTGAAGACCGTGAGAAATCTGAACCAAGATTTAATGCATGAAGTCAATATTTTTATATTATCGTGATATCTAAGTATTCTCATGTGTTGCTTTCTTTTGCCTGTTCTTGTCAGTCCTTTTGTATCTTGTATACCTTTATTTGATTGTTGTATGGACGCGATTGTTGATCCAGAAAAATGTTGTACCAAACCAAAGGATAAATGTTCACCGCCGTGCAAAAAGAAATGCAAAAAATCACAAAAAAAATGCAAGGAACCATGCAAAACTGATAAAGAATAATACGATGAACAAGCAATAGCCAATGTACACGAAAGCAATTTAGAAAATTAAATAGAAATTACATGGATTGAACTTCTAGCAGGGAAAGAAGAAAGAGAAGAGTAAAGAAGAGAAAGTAAACGAAGAATGAGAGGAAGAAGAGTTCTAAGCCTGTAAAATGTTTTGTTTTTAAAATTATGTTTGTATGAAATACACAAATCAAAAAGTTGAATGCTGTATAATTTAATAAAAAGTTTCAGGAAACGAGTTTTGGAATGGATATTCCAAATCCATGCTACAGATAATTAAAACCTCTTTTTGTTTATGGTCGATTGATTTCTTTTATTCACTGAACTCTATAGAGGTCAGTGCTTTCATTGAACCTTACTAATATAAATGCGTATGTTTAGATAGATGGATGGATGGATGTTTGTTTGAAGATATCTCCAGAACGGCTGCATGGATCTCGCTGAAATTTTGCATAAATGTAGAACATAGTCTGGAAGAACACGTAAGCTACTGATTATTTTTTTTTTTAATTCTGAGCGAACAGACTCGCGGGCGATAGCTAGTATTTTAGATATTAGAAGATATTATAAATGCAAATGTTTAGATGGATTCTTGTTTGAAGGTATCTCCAGAATGGCTGCATGAATCTCGCTGAAATTTGGCATAGATGTAGAACATACTCTAGAAGAACGCATAGGTTACTGAAGGTTTTTCTAATTCCGTGCGGACAGACTCGCAGGCGACAACTAGTTTACCATAAATTCTTCAAAATATCTCTATGATCTAGCAGTTTATCAATCCGTCAAAACAATGTCAATATTACGAAAACATCATGTGATTATATAAAAACTGAAAAGTGCTTTTTATTTAAAATATTCAGCAAAATTTAGAAATCTAAATCAATGTACGTGAACATCGCAAACATATTAAAATTGGTCTCATCATTATTCACATGTCCTTGGATATTTTGCATTCCGCTACCTATTCTACTTCTTTTATTATCATCACCGAATCTGGAGATATAATCAAAACCTGCTAACAAAGAAGATGAAATCCAGAAATATGTAACATAATTAAATATCGTAATACAATTTATCAATGTAATAAAATTCAATACCTATGTGTTGTATTTTAGAATTCTTTATCAGGTTTTGTGCAGCTTGCCTGCCTTGTTGCAGCTGCGCAAAGACCTGTGCATTACGTGAAGATCCTTTCAAGGAGAAAGACTGCACTTGTACGTAAGCATGTGGCACTAATAGGGCATACATGTGCATATGTCCATGCATACCCATAATTTGCCCATTCATTATAATGATATTCTGTGTACCCTTTATATGTCCTAAATGTATAAGTCTATGCGTATGCCCTCAAGATACAACAAATGAAATATGATTCAACTGCTTTAAGTGTTTTATTTAATTCCCATTTATTACTTTTACCCCAAAAAATTTACACATATCGAGTTTAGTTATTAATGTTGAACTAGCTGAAGTTTATTGACAAAGATGATAAGCATCACGTAAAAGAAATACCGCGTTTAATCTAATGAGTGCGCGTCCCGGATGCATAAGTTTTGTCTATGGTCCTTTCCTATCTTTTCATATGAGGAAATGATGAGAAGGGAGATTTGGCGAAAGGGACCCTTTCAGTGCATCTTCTCCACCGTTGATGTCCATGTCAGTGGGCACATCATAATGTTAGCGAACATAGATGAAAGAAGAAAGAAAGAAAAGTTTTTATTATAGGTAATAAAGATTAAACCAAGAAACAATAACTAACATAAACACATAACCGAGAAATTAAATTAAACTTAAGTTACCATTTATCATGGCCAATTAGTCGTTTCATCATCATCATCAACAGCCTTTATCTGCTCACTGCTAGGCATGACCTTGCCGAATGCCTTCCACAGAACGCGGTCCTCCGTCTTAGTCGTTTCCCACCTTATAATACAACAAAGTGTATATTTGGTAATGTCATACTAAGATTTGTAATAACCATACTTTTCTATCAACAAAATCATTATATAGCTTGTAATTTTGGTAACCTTTGGTGTTTTTGTCTAATTCCACACACTAAGCCAACCCTTTAATTTACAGACGAGAGCGTCAAGTTTTCTTCAAAATGCTCTAATGAATTGTTTCTACAAAGAGTGCAAAACATTTTCAACGCTTAAACCAAATTAGATTTAAGAAAAATGCATGGATATTTTCACAACGAGAAGGCGTTACAACGTTTGTGTCGGAGCTCTGTTTAATTGTTGTTCGTTTTATGCAATTACGTCTTCGTATGTCCGTTTTAAAACAAGCCTGCTTTGGAGTAAAATGAACATTAAAAAAGAAAAATAATTAGAAAGCCTTTCTAATTACATCTTTAGGTTTCCTTTTTGGAAAGATAAACAGTTGAGATTGTATAAGCGAGAATCCAAGAGACTGCTATATTTTTCTTTCTTATAGAGGCTTTCTTTTATATCATAAGGTGGCAAACGAGCAAGCGGCCACTTGAAATCGCTGAAATAACAAAGCGACTGTTGCCCATAGACATACGCAATTGCATATGCGTTGTCTACTTTTAATCCACGGAGAAGGGAATGCACAGAAAGATAATATTTTCCCTTCCCATGCTCATGCTCATCTGGAAATTTCACTTCCACTTCCCATCCTTTCCTTATAAATGCGAATGTTTAAATGGATGTATAGATGTTTGTTTGAAGGTATCTCCAGATCGGTTGAAAGGATCCGGCTGAAATTTGGCATAGATGTAGAAAATAGTCTGGAAGAACACATAGGGTACTAATTAAGTTTTTTTAATTCCGCGCAGACGGATTCGAGGCGATAGCTAGTGAAAACATATTGTTATACGTATATACGTATGTATTATACATTTTTTTTTTAGCCAACTTGCAGTGTAATAGAAACAAGATAGTATAGAATATCGTAGTGTAGAACTGCAGGACATCGGACGCGACGTTTTATCTTGAACACTTTGGACTCTTATCTGCAAATTGGGTTTGCGCTCGAATACGAATGAACGAATTTTATTTAGGTTTTATTTTTCCTTTATTTTTTCACAGAACTCAATTAAATATAATAAAATTAGTATTTTTATGATTAAAAACTGCATACCGTATATCTCAAAATGATAGATAAAAAAATTATGTCTTGCTGTTTGTGTATTTCCATTGTAGAAAAACTTGTACCAAAACATGCACACAATCTTTAAAAAAAAAGTCGACTTAAATAAAAACATTGTAAAGCAACATGCAGTAACAAAATACGGCTGAACGGATCTTAGTGAACTTTGGCTTACATACTGAATATAGTCTGGAAGAACACATAGGCTACTAATTATGTATTTCTTTAATTCCGCGCGGACAGAGTCGCGGGTGATCGCTAGTATGGAATAAGGAAGTTTGGTATACGGCAAGTATTTAGATAAGGTATTGTTTCAAGTCTAAGTTAGTCTTAAGTTAGCAACAATGAACAATAGAACACATCTTGGTATCTAAGCTACATTGTTAAGTTAAAGTTATATTTTGTTTACTTAACGACACCTATAACTAGTCGACTTGTTTTACGTTGCTACACATTTTATGAGTTTCGCAACGAAGCAAACTGTCGTCTAAAATATGCATTCGTTGCACAACTTTGTGAAGTTGTATACAAAGTTATTTGCTTTACATTAAAGCAAACAAAAATGTATTCCTTTAGTAAAAATAAAGTTAAATCTTACTAATATTATAAATGCGAATATTTAGATGGATGTTTGTTATAAGGGATACCCTGGAGATATCCAGAACGGGTGCATGGATTTATTTTTATCAAATTAACAGCCTAAGAATAAGTTTCAAGATTCTATCTATATTACGATTATTTCATACAAATTTCCAAACCCCTTTTTCACATTAAAAAGTTACCTGTGTCCTTTCCCAGGCTC